ACGATCCATTATACAAAAATAGTAACGTTACAAAATAGCTGGTGTGTAAATACGTTTCATAGAATAATAAAATTATAATTATAGCAATATAGCTATTAGTTATCAATATAGTTGGATCGGACTAAAAATAGAGTATAGGTAATTGGTATGGGTTTATGAATACAACAATTATTATTACCATTGAGTATAGATAGTATACTATATAGATAGTATACTATATACTATCTATACTCAATGCTATTACTAAAGGCGGCAACCACAGACCCGCATTCGTATGCGTGAGCCGCGAAGGTAGCTAATCACTCCAACGAAACGTAATACTTCATACACAACAATAATAATACCCATATTAAATGATCAATTCTAGTCATTACTTATTAGTTATTTCTATATTAGTAATAAACACTAATAACTTATTATATTATTATTATTATTATAATTGGTAACCTTACGAGCTACGGGTGTCTGAACTGGAATATACTACACTGTAGTATAGACAGTATAGTAGTTTACAGATATTAATAATACATATTTCAATATGAAGAAATTTGAAACGAACTAATTATTTTAAAAAAATCTGATACGACCGGTAGACTAATGATAATCCCCAATAGGTTAGGCCACCGGGAACTTACCGGGATACCGGTGGGGCAGGCCACCACTGGCCATCTTAATAGCAGTGATGTAATTTCTGACGACGTATTATACGCTTTGTAAAGTAAAAAAAGAAGGCATATGCTTTTATTATAATTATTATAAGATAATGAATTAACTATTAAGTCAATACATTTATGTAGGTACATTATTTATAATAATTATCTTTTTTTTAAATAAATTAATTTTAAAATGTATTATTCATATTATAAATATATTATAAGGATTACTATACCTATAAGGCTATAATCCATATTATGTACATTTTACATTATTGGCATACAAGGTGCAACAGATAGAACTGATTTTTGGAATAACTTTTTTCAAATTAATATTATTTTATTTCATAAAGAGACCCTAGCGCTAAATGTATAATTAATGTTTTTTATGTTAATTTTTTAGTACTGAGAATAAAAAATTTTTAAGGAAATTAAAATTTTTTTGGATAAACTCGAATAGCCTATTTGTGAATCTGATTAAAAGTAAAATTTTGATGAAAAAAGATTTATCTAGGTCAAGTAGGTGATTTTACCTATTCCTACACCTAACTGTTACACCCTGTATGGCTGTATGCCTGTATACTATATATAAAAATTCTCTGGGGGAGGATTGGCTTTGTTTTCGCCCCCCCCCTAGATCATCATGTATAACCGCCACTGATTCTCTGCAAATTGTGTTAACAAATAAGTAGTTAGTTAGTGAAACATACTTGATACTAAACACTACACAGTATATTATAGGCAGTGGTGACGGATATCATTAATATTAATATTATATTATTGTATATTAATTTTATTATATTCATATTATTAATATTATTTTTATCTTTTTTTTTTACACAATACGGCAATTTTATAAGTTAATACAATTATATGTATAATCTTATGATAATATTGTATGATGATCATTGATCAGGTAATAAAGTTTTAAGTTATAATACAAAATATATATTAGTTTTATTTAATTTACTAAAAAACTGCATTTGACAACTACTCAAACTAGTAGAATGGGGGTTAARGAAGTCAAAACATGGTTTCGCCCAGGGCACCAATACTTTTAGCGCCGGCCATGATAATATTCTTGCCTTTAAGTTTAAAAAAAGGTTAATTTAATTTAATTTTAAAAATTGGAAAGTAAAATGTATTTTAGGATCAAAAAATTTGCCACATTTATAAGAAGGAGACAACAATTGCTCGTGTGGCGTCGTCTTCTTAATATTAGAATCATATCAATAGTAAACACTCGCACCATAAAATAAATTAAATGACATATTGATTATGCTAATTCCACATAGGTACGCTCAATAGTTTATTTGCATATTTTGAAATGTTGAACGTACTAAAAAACGTTATTATAAAATTCGTCCAAGATGTTAAATTTACGGAAACATATTTTACCGCTCACATCTACAATACGTACACACCTTAAATATATATTGATGGACGTCATCGATGGTCGAGTCAATGTCAWTAGTTCATTRCATATACAACCTACCTATCTATATATTATGTATCCATACACAGGCCATTGCATATAATATTTACACTATAGCTGTATGGGAGCCAGGAAGTATACACTGTACCCATACCGATCTACACTTCGTACATAGAGGGACCGGAAAAACCAACAGAAAGGCAAAATTGAGAGTTTCCGTCAACATTATTACCGCGAACATGCGCAAACGTTATATTATTATGTTACGTCGTACCGACATTTCAACAGAGAATTCTTTCTATTCCGCGGCGCACAAGAGGTAACTACCTATATAATATAATATGGGTAAGTAAAATAGTATATAGACATATATTTATATTATTACATTGAGCCGTTATTTTTTCTAACATATATATGTACACGMCAGGACGCCGGTAATGTATATGCRCCGTACGTCCGTCTGGTTCTTATATAATATTATAAATGTTATGTATTATTATTACCATTAAGACATGCTCACTTTGATAATAATATAAATATATCAAACACTCGCCGACGGCAACTTTTCAGTGTATGAATTTTGCAAAAACTATAATAATAGCGTCTGCGTCTCCGTGTTTAGGTATACTGTATAATAATATTATTTAAGAACAACATAAAATGACATTATTACGATAGCTACCCACTTATTACTTACGACCTACCTACATACATAATATCTACCTACCTATTATATTGCGCGTTCATAGTGTATTTATTGACGCCGACGCTTTATTTTTATACTTATTCAGTCGAAAACGCCACCGCCGCCGTTGGATATCTTCGAGACCGGCAGACTCGTCGTGACTTCGTGAGTCGTATAATTCTGCTACAGAAAATTCAAATCGCGCGTACCTGTAACAAAGGTGTATCATAATATTATAAGATTGTTTCGCAGCGTTTGACCTAGTAAGCTTACATCTCCGACCGCCATGACTACGGAACAACATAATAATACATRTTATTTTGAACATAAAGGTAGGTACGTTATGTGCACCTCAACCTCTGCGGCTCTCTTGTTTGGGTTTAAAAACTTAATACGTTACAGTGGGTAACATATTACATAGGTGCGTCATAACAAATAATATTATGTAGCATACTTGATGGAAATTCCTAGTCGACATCGTATCATGTAATTTAATTATTTATTTACGGATAGATTATCCCTACACAAATTGACCATCTCAGACCATTTAAACAACGCGAAAACAGATATATTTTTTTTTTAATTTCAAATATGAACACTTGCATTTAAAATTCGTGCTATTTACACACAGTATGTAAAATATATATATAATATGTATAACAACTTAGATGCAAGATATGCTATACGTATCTTGAATACAATACGTATAATTTCATAATACCTTTTTGGAATGTTCTTTATTAATTAGTWTTGTGTTACACAATATTACACTTATTTAATATTAAATTAAACATTTTGTTTTAATGAATGTGACTCTTTAAAATATACAGTAACGCCAGTAATGATTTTCAAAAACCTAAAGAAGAAAAACAGTGATTGATTGAAATAAAAAATTACAGAAGAAGTTGACTACATTTAAAATATATTATTTATATTATAACAAAAGTTTATTAAACAAAAAAGAAATTAAATTTATTATTACATTTGGCATTAACTAAATGTTCTGGAAAAAATGAGATTTTTAAAATAAACTGCATCATTAGTGATTAAAAATAAGCAAATGGTATTTTGGATTTCAAACGATGGAACAATTTGGAAATGGCTTTAAATAAATTATTTCCTGTGGACATAATGGTATACGAGAAAAAAAGTTTTGAAACTTATCTTTTWTTCATTGCAATTATTGATGTTTTGAAAACATAGTTTTCTATTTTTTCTATTTACCTATATAATATCAATTATTTATATATACATCCACCGTGTAATTTTGTTTGAAAAAATGACCATCTATATTATATATTCGGATATTCCATACAATTAATCTTCTCTCTTTTATCGACAATAATTGAAGTTGTCAAACGTCAACAATATTAAACATTCGAATCATTAAATCTYAAAAAAGTTATTGTAAAATAAATTAACGATTTAATATTTTAATTGGTATAGCCGGTATAGGTAGTGCCCCCATCGTGTAAATATATAGGTCCATTGCTTTGGTATTTAGAAATAATTTTAAATATTATATACAGAGCTTAATCTTTTTGTTAGAATTATAAGAGTTAATTACTACAATAACACGCAATTTTTACAGGAATATCACATATTAATACAATACCAATGCAGTGACTTTTGTCATTTTTATTCCAAGTACATAAAGTCAACAATGTTATCATGATCTGTGTCCAGTACTCAAGTCTCAAGTGTCCACCGTATGAATATCATCCAAATAGCAAAATAAGTTATTAATTATGAGTTATWAGCAAGTTATAACTTAAATCAGTTATTCGTTTGATGAATAGGTACGGAAATATTATATTGTACCTATAAACCATTTTGTCACTGTTTCGTTTTTTTATTTATTTCTCTGCAATRTATCTTGGGCTCTAATAATATTMATAAATTATTTTTTTATTTTTTATTATAATAAATATATTTTATAGGTCAGGGTTTCAAACCGAAATAATTTATATGTTTTTCATTATTTTATTATTTTTTTCTGTTAAAAAAAATCTAGTCTTCATGAAATCAAAATCTCAATATTTTATATTTATTATTTAAATATATATTAACTAATGACTACAACAAGGTATAACGTCATTACTTCTATCATTAAACAAATCAGAAACAGTGACCATCACATATCAACATTTATTGAATGTCATAATTATAACTAACTTAACTAAATAATAATAATAATAATAATAATAATAATAATTTCGATTAAATATTTTGTTTTCGTTCTATAAACTAATAAATTGTGGTTTCGTTCGACAAAAAAATTCCTATATATCGAACAACAAATTACCCRACTGCAGTTTCGGCCGGTTTGAAGTCCTACTTTATTATATTAAAAATGYAGTTTTTTTCTGATGATGCCTACCTAGAACATATTTTATTGGTTATTTTTTTTTTATGAGAACTACTTCCATCCAACGTGTTCATTGGTCTCTTSATTGATTTTTAAAAGATGCTCGTGAAGGGGTTGAAAATATTCCAATAACGGTTCTATTTCTACTCTTTGGTGTCCAACTATTGTCTCAAATAGAAATTGCCATTCCGTCGAAGAGCCACTAGCCATGACTGATCTAAGATAAACCACGAAACAAAAACCAGTATTTTATGATGTTGCACGTACTTAGTTTACTGCATTCCGATATTTTTATATTACATACTTGATAATTCTTCCGACTTTTTTATAGCCTCGTAGGTTGCATTCGTACAAGTGTTTGGTTTTTGCGTGTTTAGATTTGTACTCGCCACAAACCGTACACAACGCTTTGAATATTTGAAATTCTATTATCGGTCCCAARAAGTCTCTGGTTTTATAAAACATATTAATTATTCACACTGCAAATAATATTATATTACAATAATAGTATAATAGCATCGCRTTATAGAATTAATAATATGATAACTATCACGTTGACGCGCGACGTCGTTATCGTTTAATGATCACAAATTCACAATAAAACGTGCAGAATGTAGATTCGCATTAAAATAGTATAAATAATAATAAAATATTATAGTGTATATAATTATAATATACTATATACTTGATGTGCGGAAACTCAATCACCTCAGCGTACGCTGCACTCGGATCAAACGGTTTGTAATTAGGATTCGTACACTTGTCCATGTCTTTGGAAATAGGCGACACAACGCCCTCGTATTTGAGCCTGTGGTAATAATATTTGATCAGATCGCTTGAACCCAATTCACTACACTAAATTTATGTCATGTGATTTAGAACAAACAAAAAAATATTTCAAAATACCACATTTTTAAAAACTTTTAGTTGTTATCCATCGTTATTTTAAAGAACTCCTATTGATACTTAGTTTGATAGTTTTATCAGCATATACTGATCTACCTAATATTTCGTTTCATTAATATCGATTAAAAAACGAACAAGTCTTTATATGTTATTGGTATACAATATGCTGYATTTAATAATAATAATAATTCAGATAAGAGAAGTAAAGTCTCAAGAGTCCCACGTGATATTAMGGCATATTGGGATAAACTATTTCATATTTAAATTTAAATGCTCAAAAATATAAAAATTCAGTATTTGGTTCTCAAACGCGACTTTTAAAAAAGAATATCCTGTTGGGAACATGAAGTAAAATAGGCTTTCATTTGCTTTTAAAAAAAAATAAATACATTTTTTCAAAAATGTAGTGTCTTATCAGTAATGACGGCTATACAATTTTTTCTTTAATAGCTATGAAATTTACACAAACTTTGAGYGGTAACAAATAAAACCGATACGATYATATGAAAATACATTTACAGCTGATAAGGCTAGTGGCAACAATTTTTTTCAAAATATTGACTATTACCTAAAGTTATGTATAAAACCATATTTTATTTTAAATTTATAATTTATCTAATATATATAAATATAACTATTGTAGTAGTATTTGCAGTTGAGTGATTTTTTTAATATTATGGATATAAAATATTGAAGCAATAGTTTTATTTTTTATTTTTAATCATAATTATTTTATGAGCGAAAAGTCAAAAGGTACTCCGTTAAAGCTTTGGTAAACTATATAGCTTCTATAAGAAGTACTTTAGCGCTTATTAAAAATATACTCGATATTCATGCATCACCGTTAAAAAAAAAGAAATGCATTCTGTTTCAGATCATATCAAATCAAAAATGATATAGGTCGTCTTTTAAAAATATGGCTGGCTCTTCAAAAGTCAAAAGTCTTTTCACTAACAAGCACGAGATTGAAAAAAAAACGATGCAAATATTAAATTTATTATTTCAGATTAGAAAAGAACATAATATTAACTATTAATAAAACAATATTAACTGTGTCAATATATTTTTCCTACAGTGTCTTACAGCGATCCGGGACATGATCAGTGTCTACCGACTGACCGCGCTTTCGGAAAAATGGACATTGACGCTTATATAATATAGGTACTAGGTACTATAAAGTAAAGACTAAGATTTAGAATATATTTATCTATATAAACGAATATAGATATTTTTTTATTGATCTTAATTACATTGTTTACTAGGCCATTAATTTAGGTATACATAATATTATATAGTTCACACTAAAGGTTATGCTTCTAAAATAGTATATGTTATATAATTTCAATTTCCTATTTAAACCTACCCATAATAATCGACCAAAAAAAGAATGTTTTCCTAACCATTTTTAAAGATTTATAAGACCGTAAGTGCACAATAAATCAATAAAATGTCAACAAATTATAGTTAAAAGTGTATCAAATTCTAAAAAAATRTATACAATAAATAATAACGCTTAAATTTAGTGCTGTAGTCATAAAAAAAACAGAACGTATACTATAAGTTGTAAACATCATCGGAATCATAAGATATATAAGTGTAATGTCCATAACATTATAACCAAAAGGTATACGGTGTCTATTCGTAATAATCAGAAGGTAGGTTATGGCGTTTACCGCAAACCCGAGATTATTTCAAGTCTTCTTCGTTCGTACCTCTGTATTGGAACAGTGCTCAGACACACAGACCTATAGTCAATAAAGTTGATTTTAAATTATGGTCGTGGGTCCTAATAGTCATTTCCTATATTAGGAAACRAACGAGGAATCGACAAACKCACGCCATCATACCTATAAGTTACAAGTTCTAATTTAKATTTATTTTAGAGAGAGTAATTAACTTAAAACGTACGAAGGTGAGGCGTATAGTTGGTTCGCCGCGTATAAGCTAGTACGGGTGATACCACAGTACCCAGTGACGAACTGGAATGAAAAGAACCGTGGCGCTGAAACATTTTGTAGCGCCAAAAAATTACCAATTAATGCACTTTTCTATTTYATTTTYAGCAAATTTTTAAAACTATAAACTTAATATTTTTTCAGTAAAATATGAATACGAAGTCTAACCTGCCGACAATGTCTGCACATGTGCTTATACTTTTATTATTTTATAATAAATAGTAAACATAAAATATAAAAAAATTTTAAAAATGAGTATAAGTAGGTACCTGTTTTTTATTTGCAGTCGGTACTTTGGCAGGTCACACGTTAAAACTGCAGATTTATTTTAAAAAGAAAAAAAGAAATAAGAAACTTTTTAACAAATTACAATAAATAGTTTTAATCATGAAACGAAATCGGAAAGTTATCGTCATTCTACAGCGTCGTTGCRCGTCGCTCGCAATAACATGAAATACGTGTCCATATTACTACATACACTCGTACTATGCCGCGCGGAAATGTCAGGAGACAATAATAGAAACATAATGTTTCAAATTCCCAACAATAAATACGAATCAATAGTTATGTCCGTTTTTATTATTTTTAATTTATGTTATTACATTTTATTTTTATATTACAACGTTTTTATGATAAATAMAAATTAATAGGAATATGTTATTATGGATGGCAAACACCTAATAATAAGGTGATTATTTTCAACATTTATAACTTTCATAGTTTTACAATAGGCCCGGGCCAGACCGCCACTGAGCGTACCTACATAACAATACCTACACTGGCTACACTTATAAATGGACTCGCGTTGAAAATTCCTGGGCACGTCTGTGTGTGCGTGAGTGCATATAACAGGCAATACGTACCTTTTGCTCCACCAGTGATCATTCATGCGTTTCGGTGCGAAAGAGCTCCTGCACGAGTCCGAGTGCCAAACATCGGCGGCGTAGGCGAATGGCAGGACGGCGACCTTTTCCATGGCCAACCGCAACAGATATATGTTCCGACTGCTCGCGCTGTCGTTGTACCTGTCGATGAAGTCTTGATATCGCACGGACAACGTCAGTGCGTTGATCACGCCGTACACGAACGCTGTAGACGATATTACAATCACATATTATCTTCTTGTTTTTGTTTTCATTTTTTATTTTTTGYACAACGTGTATATCATTATCATTATTTTTATTACAAAATATACTAGGACAACAACAGTCTACAACCGACAGGATTAAAACGTAAAAGTTGTATTAAACCGCTAATGGAAGGCTGAAGGCAAAATTTACCATATTATTCACTTCATTTATGAGCCACGATCGATATCAACGTATTACAGGATGTCCTTGGGATACTAATAAAATGTATATATGATCTACCGTTGTACATAAAACCGAGTGTATTATCAATATTTTTTAATTATTACTTGTTACTGCAGCCAAAAACCACTGCTGCAGTGGTCAGGTTATTTCAAATGTATATGCTTAGTGGTAAAGACACATCTATTAATAGGGTTAGACAGGATAAACTTTTCAAAACTTTAAGATTTCGTATATAGCCGATAATATTATGATCTGCTGATATCTGTATTATATGTAAGGTCCTTGTTGTTATGACGGATCTACATTATTAGTTATGGCTCATGTTCTCGCGTACATTTTTTTCATAATAACTTCATATTAAAATAATAGCAAGCTGTTATCGTTATGATACCATTGAAGTAAGAAGTTTTTGGAAAATGAGCATTTTACATCAATAAAAATTTAAAATATTTAACTCTCAGTTCTTTTAAAAAATACGATGTTCGTAAAGCTTAGTACTAGAATTATATTTTTAATCGTAATTTTCTCCTAGTGGGGGGAGGGCTGGAAGACTCTTGTTTACCTCYTCCCCATTATTTTCTTTCATAACTGTGCACTCAAATATCCCCAGGCAACTATCAAGTTGCGTTAGGTTTACGTCCGAACAATGTAACATGTTTATAATATAATATACGCATGATTTTGTCATAGTTATAATTTCGTCACCTGGGTCGGATGTATGCTGATACGCAAATGGCYGTTTTTTGTAAGCTGCAAAATAGTGAACTAAACCCAGTTGCTTGTGCATTGTGTACACGTCTTCGATTGTGTCCTTGAAATCCATTTTTATCCTGAAAAATTCTGTTTGCGTCTTAACAAACACTGTCACATGTGTATTAAATATACAAAAGGTTTGCAAGTCAAGGAAAAATATAAGTAGGTACTGTAAATGAAAAATTCTTAAGATAAAATCGATTTTCGCACACGTTTCATTTCAACCGATATTTTACACAAATATAATATAAATTTAATAAGTTTCGTATTACAGATGCATAAAAGAATATACATTAATATATGTATAATATWATAATATTATAAGTCACTCCACTTTTCGCCGACTTGGTATTAATCAAAAATGTATCAAAAAATCACCTGAAATCGTTATCGGCGTACATATCCCAAGACGATGGTTCGTGATTAGCAAAATGTTTATTATCTATCAATACTGAATGGGACCAAACACTTTTCGGCACACATCCCATGCCTATCGATTTAAAGAACCTATTAGCTTGGTCAAACAGTCGCCTTGCAGTCTGTAATGGATTTCAATTAAYTGTAGTTAATAATATAACGAATCAAATCTAATAAATGTTATACCATAGCTTTTTTGCCATTATCGTGTACGACGAATTCCTGAACCATGAAAGGTATCAACTTCGTCCATGGTTGACCCAATACTGAACCTGAATATTTGACGAATAAACAATAAATAACGTTTAATTCAGACAGCTTAAGAATTAGTCTGCCAATAAAACTTGATAATCCAACTAGGTATGTCAAACATTCCGTCAAAATCAGTATTTTTAGTATTATTTATTACATATTATTATTATTTTATTTTTAGATTAGAATAATTATAATACTTATGAGTAGTAAATTAAATTATTTTAGTTAGTTTTATTTTAAGTTGTTTAGTCCAATTGATTTATATTGTATGATATTTATAAACATTTGATATTATTTGATATCAACCAATAGTTTCCAAAAAATATATTAATGCATTTTACGAATTGGTTTATTCATCATAAGTTTTCACTATACACATGCCAATTGTATGTTTACTTTTTTTTTTGAATAAAATAAAATATGTAAAAATATAAACGCGTATTAACCTTTTTGTGGTGATTGTAGTTAGATCACTTAACAGTGGCGCAATTATCGGGAGTGTTGGGTATGTAATTCACAGGGACCCGGGTTTTTGGGGGGCCCGATTCCTGAGATGTGGGAAAATATTTTAAAATTGCATACAATGTTTACAAAATTTAAAATATGTCAGTAAAGAAATTTCTCGCCAAAATCATTTTTAGATAATTAGTAAATTAGTAATAATTATTAAAAATATTCTACTTTAGTTTCCAATTACATTTTATTATGGTCAACTAATGCATATATTAGAGGCGTTTAGAAATTATAAAGTTGATTAAAATAACTACATATTATTTTATATTTACCTATACTATATAATACGAGTAATCAGAGAATATGATAAATCAAAAATTCGTAATTGTGTTAAAATAATTATCTATTATCACTGCGACCCTTCCACTTACGAAATTGACCATTTTATCCATCATGGTACTTTCAACGAGYAATAACTTATAATAGGAATTTATTTACAAAAGTTATTTTCATGAAATAGCCTACATAATATTAGAATGCCACTCGCGTGAATACAAAATATTTTTTAAACAATTTTTACGRCAATAACATTGTGATTGAACAATGAGTCAATTGAATGAAAAAATAATATTCTACATGGATTTTTATAAAAATTATAATTCATAATAGATATTGTCATATTATTATGTCATACATACGATACATCTTTGAAATTGAGGCTCTTATTAAGTTTTGGTGTTTATAACATTGTCAACTATAACGCATTAAGATATTTTCTTTTTGAAGTAACTGTTTTAATATTATTTTCTCAAGTTAAAAAATTCATAAAAAAAATTTTTATCAATAATAAATTAAAACATAAAAATAAATGAATAAATTAAAAAGGTTTTAAATTACATATAGTGTAGTGTGCTTGGTTATTTATCAATTAACTTTCCCGGTGGACTGAAATATCTTTAACGAACTTAATTTATTGCAATCAATAATTATTGGTGATTTTAAAATTGTAACTTGGTTCTTAATGACTAGTTAATACAATTCTTTTTTATTGAATCTGCTGATTTTTTTTTTAATAATTGCGCACAAAACTGATTAACATTTTAACCGTAACATCAAATTTGAATAATATAAGCTAATTTCAAATTAAGCGTTCCGCGGGATAATTATATATAACATGTTTGAATAAAATCTATAGAGCATAAAATAATAAATGTCTATTACGTTGGGATAGACATGTATTTATTATTGAAATAAGCCGAAGTAAATACGAATAACACGCATTACATTGATTTGTTATGTCATATGATATTATACTTATCCACAGATTAACATACAAATATATACATACATATATATATATATATATATATAGTATAATTAATCTATTCGTATACATTTATATACATTTATGGTAGAAAGTAAAATCTTGCGGTTTGAATAGTTGCAATGAAAAAAAAATTTTAATATTTTAAAATTATATAATAGTCTAGAAAATGTATATTACTATTTACTAAGGACTAAAATACCACTATTACAGATCACTAGTAAAAAACGACGTGAGGTWAGCAATTTTCTGTCACACTTATATAAATAGAACAACTTTCAAATAATATCTACAAAAGTTATAGGTAAACGTTAAGATGCTATAAGCCTCCGATTCAAGGAGTTGTTTAAACTGTTTAGAGAGTGGTGCTTAACCCAACGACCCGTTCAATGGACAACTGATGAGAAATACCTCATCAGTATGAACTGATCGATTTTTATTTTTAAATACATTCTCAGACTTGCCCAATAAATGAACGGGAATGGGACCATTGGCGGACACGGTAGCTGTTCCAAATTTTTCTCTGAGAATTTTACGAACGTGTGTGAAAAGATGCAAGTACAGCGGTCTTATGCCTTCATACATCTGATTGKCGTTCAATTGGCCTTGGTTGTATGAGTATGGTTCCATATAGTAATCGACTTCGTTTGAAAAATCTTAAAACGTAAATTAATTATCTTTTAATGAATAACGCTGTTAGTATAATGTAAATAAAGTAATTTAAAAAACAACATAATTACATTGTCTTATATATCATATAATATAATTGTCGTTAACCTTAAATCTTGTAACATGGTATAATCATAAAAATGTATAATATTATACACATCAGTGCAGATAATATTATAACAAATAGGTATTCAACATTTCAAAACAATGAGGTATTATGTTTTTTTTTTGCTAAATTACTGTTTAGTTGGGCCATATAGTTCAACATTTCAATATAATTCATGTAGATATTTTTCACATCATAGCTGGTGTGATTATGCCAAGCTTTCCAATAGTATTTTAACTCTACCGCGTCTGATGAGTTAACCATAACGATATTGATTTCTAAAAGTCGATTATACAGCATAATTAATACACATTGTTCTGATTTACATAATATATTTTACCACATAGCATTTTTTACCTTACTTCATAAGTACCACTGAGTGTTTAATTCAGTTATTAGTTAAGAGTATAACTTTTGTAGAGCTGAGCATTAAATGTCATATAATCGATAATCCATAATATTATTTAAGTATATATAGGTAATGTGTATTTTATTCCTTATTTGTTCAAAAATAAAATTAATGTAATATCTTGTTCAATGATATACCTTTTACAATTTTTAAACAAATAAAGAATAGAATTTACACTATATATTATGAACTTAAACAAAATKGATTATTTGACATATTTTAATGCTCAGCTCTCACACCCACGTTTTACTGACCATAACTCATAATATCGTCTTAACATACAATATTCAAAGAACATTTGGGCCAAGGTGATTATATTATAGATCCCTATAAGTTAATGGTGGTTTCTCCATCGCATTATCCACGTGAATGATTAAAGTCCCGTTACTAATAATTTACAAGAAATTTAAAGCACCGTGGCAAGTTTAGGACCAAGATAATAATATTATATTATATAGTTTCAAATAAACGTATAATATTATGTTTATAACTACATTTTACAATGCAACCCGCAATACTCCAGAATAAGAAAGTTAAACTTCCACCTACCAGATCTCAAAGTTTAGTATCATAAAAGCTGTACCTACCTACATAATATTCTAAAAAAAATACGTTTTGAAAACGCGTCATCGTATGCCTATGATGAATATAAAAACAATTCACGATATTAATATTATGCTTTGGTGTTATTAAAATYGATTTAAAAACAACATTTCAGTCATACCGTCCGCTGTTATGTCACACGGATGATTGGTCTTCCGGTATTCACAAACTGTTAATTCGTTAATCGTTGTTTTTAGTTTCCTCTTCAGCATTAAGGTCTACAATCAATTTCAAGACAAAATATAATAATATAATGCGATGCTTCCGCCGAACTATTTACATGCACACACACACGGTTACCCTCAACAATTAAATGGATTTTATTTTTTAAGTGACAAGATAGTGWAAATTATATAAAACTCGACCGTTTTAAATTGATAAATCTTTGTAGGACAGTCGTCTGTATATTATATTTTAAAGAAGACAAATGAACGTACTGTCTTATACTCRTCCGTGTTCAGCTGACAAATGCCACGGTCGTGCACAAAATACACTAAGGGCAACAGGTCTTCGTAGTTCGTGCCAAAACCTATAGAGATATTTTCGGCAGACGTTACAAGTAGATTTTGATATATAAACAATCGAACGGTAGATCTCATCTATAAAATAAACAATACTTCATTACGGTATTAGTATATGTAAACAAAATCCGGGATAATTCCTGGAAAAACTTAATCGATTAAAAAAATTGTTTCACTAATAAAAAGTTTAAATTGCGAAAAAATATATATAATATATAATAAGGATTTAATTTTATATGGCAATGTCAAAAATCCTGAAAGGAGATGAAAATAAGGTAAATCCACTGAATTTTTTTTGGGGGGAGTATTGAATATCATCAATATACGTACGCCGGGTATATTAAATGACGAATTGAACACAGATTTTGTATCATATATAGATTTGATGTTTTTAACGGGCAACGAAGTGCACTAGATCAGCTGATATATATTATATAATAACATTGGATATCTAAAATTCTGAACGGAACGAAGGGAGCTATTGATTTTGCCACGATGTGGTATTTTACCCTTCTAGCAAATATATCGTACTCGAGGATATAGAGAAATGCTCAAAACTTTCATAATAATATAGCTACCTACTCGATGTACTGTGTGTATTACACCGACGAACTGGTAACTGGTAACTGGTATTCCGCAAAAGAGATTGTTATTTTTTTCGATTTTTTCCAGAGAGATATAAAGTCCGAAATCGGAAAATTGCGAACAAAGTACTTACGGACGTTACTTATACACAAACATATAGACATWCAACACATGAACAAAAGAGGTGTATTATTGAAATCCACGTAGGTACTATAATAAATATACCTATTAACATGATTGGTCATAACAATAACAACACGCATTATATCGGTGATATACGATTGTGTACGATTGTCCCTTTTAGTAAAACGATTGCGTACGAAAATGAGTGCAACGTTTCCAACATGTACTATTAAATTAAATTAAAAATAATAATAATATAATTTTAAAAAATCATTATTATAATATTATAGTCAATTAAAAACAATATAAAATATTTAGTTATATAAAATACAATAATAATACACATAAGCTATAAATTAAAACGTTGGTATCGATAACCAGTTCCTGATAAAAAAAAAAAAAATTAATTTAAAATAATAATAATAATATAATTTAAAAAACCATTTTTATAGTCAACTAAATAAAACTTAAATTTATTATACAAAATACAAATTATAAGTTATAAATTAAAACCTTGGTATCGATAACCAGTCCCTGATAAAAAAATTAATATATTACCATATCTATTTTAAATTGGTCGTATAGTTTTATTACATGGTTAATTTTTTGCATATCTTTAGATGGAATAGCTTTGGATATATTTTTTCGTATAGTGGATATTTTTATATTGGTTTCAGCCTGCATTTCTTTCAATGCCTCAAGCACAAAGAGTATATTAGTGCCTGGTGGATGTGAGTTATAGAATTGAGCGTTAAAAGTTCTGTGGAAACTCTCTGGACCATTTGTTGTTCTGACATTAAAATACGTAAAAATTATGGAATTAATAATAATCTAAATATTTTATGACACTTTATTTTTATGTATCAGAACATAAACTTTAAAGTTATATTGTACAAGAATACTTCCAAATTTTTCTTATAATTTATAAAAATATAATACCTTTTATTTATTGAAGGTTCTTCAGCCCATATATTAGTTGGAAATATACAATTTAGTTGTATATAATTATTGAATACATAGCCTGGAAATAATAGTCTCGGTAACGTTTATATAATTGTACTCCTATAGAACATTAAATTATATTGTTTACGACGCCGTTCATTAAAATATATAAATTTGAAAAACAACATTTAATATCCAATAATTATTTCACAGTGCACGCAGAAACGAATAAAGAATTAGTAATAAATAAAAAAAATACGCCACTTTATAAAAATACCTACAATAACAATATTATTATAATATCATTATATCAATACGACATTTTAACCTCGAAGAAATGAGTATAGGCAAACAAAATTACAGTTCAACTCTTCAAATTGCGTATCTGTAGTTCCGTATTTTCGTTTGAAGATAAACACCGTWTATTGCCTGAATAATGTTATATTCAAGCATTTTACGACTACCTCTAGGCTCTAAGAGTCATATGTGACCGAAAACTTAGTACCTAATTAATGGTATAATATATACCTATATTTTAAGCTAATCCTATTGTTGCTTTTTAACCTCCGAATAGTGTAAAAGCAAATAATGCCTACACGTTTTATTTTATCATTTCGTATATTATTTGACTATTCGCTATTTTTATGTTCGTTAAAAAAGTATACTTATGGAGAAATATTTTACTTTTTTTGAAAACTCGTATATTACAATTTACAACAAGTAATAACCGTTATGATTCTTCATCTTGAAACACTCATTATTTCAAAAAGGTGTGTCTTAGAAAAAAATTGTATTTGGTTTCCAATCAAAAAAAGAGTTTTTTACTTTTTTGAATAACTTTTTGTTTTTGTGTTTTTTTTTTTTAGTTTTAATTTCACATTCCACAAAAGCACATTTTTCTAAGTATTAAAATATACGGTGAGTTATTTACGAGTAATAAGTGTTTAAAGTACCACTCTAATTCACTAATCTAAAATTTAAATACTTATAACTACTCATAAACTACTCGTCCTGAATTCGATTTTTATATGTCGAAATACACTGAAAAATATTTTACTACTGAAGATCAAATGAAAACTGCTGTATGTTGTCATTCAAAAAAAGTAAACAAATTATTAGGGTAAAAAATCGTATTTAAAAGAACACATTGTTTAGTAGTATTGTACCAACATGAAACCTATRAAAAAACATTAATAATTTTTGAAATAATCCGCAGTTCGTGATAAAATAATCACTCTGTACTATGTACTGCAAACACGATTAAAATATTTTAATACGGTATACAAAATAAATCTAATTAATAATTATTAC